TCCCTTTCGAATATTGAAAACTTTACCTATTTTAATCATTTTTGCAGTGGTTATATTTCTCCAGAATATGCCTTTCATGGCCTTGTTTCAATCAAAACTGATGTGTTTAGCTTTGGAGTTCTGCTGTTGGAGATTGTAAGTGGTAGGAAGAACACTAGTCGTTATCATACTGAGCATCCTTTGAACCTTATAGGATTTGTAAGTTGTTTTCTTTTCAGTGGCTCCTCTTCTCTTTGTTTCTTCAATTTGAATGAATAAATTATTTTAACTTAAAATTTGTATAAGTAAGATATTCTTGGTTTGCATTAGGCATGGCAACTTTGGACTGATGATAGAGGTTTGGAGTTAATTGATCCCACTTTGGATGAATTTTGCCCTCATGATCAAATTTTAAGGTGCATCAATATTGGCCTCTTATGCGTACAAGACCATGCCGTGGATAGACCCACCATGTCTGATGTTGTTTCAATGCTTTCAAATGATGAGGCTGTATCTCTGCCAGAACCAAATCAACCGGCCTTTTTCATCGCCACTGCAAATGCAAAAGAAGCAGGTGTTCCTAAAATCAACTATGATCATTGTTCTATAAATCAGGTATCAATTTCAGTGATGGAAGCTAGATGATTGTTCCATTGAGATTCTGATATGATATTTGTCTATGTGATAGTACTGTGTGATGGGGATTTTATTTTCCATGTTCTAACTATTGTTGGTGATAAAACTATAGACTAAATAAGTTGAAAAATTACTCTTAGTTGTGTCAAGATGAATATGCAAAGAAATGCATTAGTTTCGCAATTCTACTGTGGATATTCTTTTGCTTCATCTGTTCTATGCTTGGTTAATGGAACCAAGTAGTTGTATCGAATATTGCTGAAACACTTTGCAATCAAGTTTCAAGGAAGCTTTTAATCTGTTCTTACTTCTTAGTTCTTCAATTACTTACTCACCATGTTAAAGAATTACCTTTCTCATTATTTGTCATTGAACAACAGAAAGAAATAAGACAACTTCATGCATTAAAAAATGCACTGCAATGCTTGCCCTCATATATATGATTGAGCTTTAATTTAGCGAAATTGGAATGAACCTAAGATGGGAGGAATAAGATGGCAATTTAGTTGTATATAGTCCAACTGAAAATGGAAACGTTTATTTTGACTTTTTTTTTTTTTTTTTTTGGGTTAACTAGTACAACTTTGGGGATGGACAAATGGAATTGCCAAGCTCAAACACTAACTTAATGCCACCATTTAATTTGACCCTTTTTAGTCCGTAAAATATGTAGGGTATTACAAAACAAAGAAAGAGTTAAGTGAAAATGGATTATATATAAGAATGATATGGAGAACCAATTCAAGAAATGTAGAATTTCTATTCCTTTCTTCACCACACAATTTGTAAGAGTACAAGTCCTATATATAAGCTAAGTAGGTGGGAGGAGTTATAAAGATTGGTGTGATGAGTTACAAAGATTTGTTCACTCACTAAACCACAAAGTGAGGAATTAAATTATGGCGATTTGTCACCATTATTATTGCGTGGAAGAAGGTGGAGGTGAGAAAGTCAAAGGGTGAAAGATGAGAAAAATGAATCATCCATCATAAATTATTTCATAACTCTTCCCTTTATGCTCATTAAACTGCCTTGTCAAAAACCTTAGGAAAAATCTTATGGGAAAAAAACCATGTTGAAGGGAAAAAGAGTGCAATGGGTATAATACTGCCCCTAATGAAGGGAAAAATAGTGTAATGTGTATAATATTTTTCCTCAATTCAATGAATATTTTTGATCAGGTAATGGATGTCAATTTTGTGTTTTAACTGTTCTAAAGTTCTAACAGTCAATGGTCTTGTGAAGGGAACCTGTTGGATTCTTAGTAGACTTTGATGGACCATTATTTCTAGTTTTTTTTATAGGCTTTTCTACATAGAAAATTACTTTGATGAGATGTATATAAGTACCATATTTTGTAATAATCTATTAGGTGGATATGATAAATATTCAAAATCCAATTTTTTTTTTTTTATCACAAAATCCAATTTATTTAAATTTTGAGTGCTTCAAATATATTAATCATAAAACATTTGTCTCTGGAATGTAAGAAAACATATATTTAATTTCGTTCTAATGACTTCAAGTCTATGTATAAAAAAATCTTACCAATGAATTTTTAGAATATACTATATCATAGTACATATATTATCAGTAAGATATATTGATGCATTTGATTACAATAAGATATGATACTTTTGAACCAAAAATCATTCTTTTAAAGATAAAAAATATTATCTTTTATGTGAAGGATTGAACCAGCAGTGGTGAGCCCAAACCATAAGCTTTATTCATGTTGAAGCAGTTTAAAATTTCTTATTAACATTTTGATTGATAACAAAAAGACAAATTTGGTAAGTGCTTGATTGGTTGAATGAGTCCAAATTTTATTGTTTTGAGATCTTTATCTCATAGTCACCCTTTAGACCATCCTATTTCTAATACCCCAAAATTTATCTGAGCTTTAATTTATTTATCAATGGGGTTGAGTGAAAGAATTAAATATTGAGGGGATTTAATGATATGAAAAAGAGTTGGGCTTAATTGGATCAAATAAAAATTAGAGGACTTAATCTCTGGAGTTTTGAAACTGGAGGACTTTTATTCTGTAAAATTCATTAATTTGGCCAAAGTAAGTTAATCTAATATATGTAATTATTAGATTAAAAAATTTATATTTTTAATATATATTAAATGATAATAAATTTTTTATAATTAATAAACTAATTATTTAAATTTAATTAATTCAATATAAAATTAAAAAATTAAATTTAATAATAATTTTTTAAAAATATTTATTAAAAATAATATTTTTAAAGTTGATTTTTTTTTTTTTGATGTCGAAACTATACATACATATGGAATATGAGGTGGCTTGTGATTGGGCCTCGTTTCATATAAGGTTTTGGTATGGTTGATTTGGGCCAAAACTCCGATCCACAATTAAATCCAATCCTTGACCCAGTTCCTTACGTTCATCGTCTTTCGGCGTTTCCGTCCGGTCCACAGCGACTCCACCGTGATGGTGTCGCCATCACTCATCAGCAACTTTAACAAAACCCTCTCTTTTCCGTCCGTTGTTTTCCGCCAAATCCTCTCCCACCTGATCTTCTTCTCCTTCGTTTTGCAGTCATTCGGTAAAATTCAGACAATAAACTCATGATTGCCGCTGCCTCGCCCAATGCCTCGTCTCTGCATACTTTCCGGCAAAATCGAATCTCGTTCAAGTGAAAGCTTTTGGAGGAGTGTACATTCTTTGCACCGCCACCGAGGAAGAGAAGTTGACTCGCCGTTCCCATCTCAGTTTTCCAATTGTAAGTTTCTTCACAATTTCTTTACTAACATTTTCGTAATTGACTGAAGACTGATGACTAATATGTTCATTTTTCTTTTTATTTATTTAGTAATGGAATTTTCTACCGATATATATTAAGGATACATTTATAGTAATTTATATAAAAAATAAAAAAAAACTATAGTTTTATAACTATTTAATTAAATTATTTTATGTGATATTAATATTAAAATAAAATTTATTTTTATAATTTTTTATAAATTAATGATAAAAATACAATAAATACACTCTTAGTGCCTGTTTGGTGTGGTTTGTGAGAGTTTTTGTTTTTTGAATACTGTTATAAGTGATAAATTTAAATTTTTATTAGAAGAAAAATTATGTTTTTGCTTTTAGAGATAAGAAAAAGTGAATCAAAAGTGAATCAAAAGAGAGTTTATAAAAAGTTTAAATTTGAAACTTTTGAGTTTTTACTGTTTAAGGTCTTTTTAAGGTTAAAAAAATTTAAAAATGTAAATTTTTAAGAGAAAAATTTAAATTTATAAAATATAAATGATATCTAAAAGCTGAAACTTTTAAGAGCTGATCCAAACATGCTTTTAATCAACAACATAGAACAGCTTTTACTTTCCGTTTTGAGTCCTTTGACTATGAGTTAGGAGGTGGACAATGCTTTAATCTTTTTCTTTGTTTTCCAATAAAATAGTTTACTGCATTTAGCAAATCTTGCGTATGGTGGATGGAAGCAGTAGTATGTATCACGTACTCTCAAAAACATTTTTGGCGCTCATTCCCCAAAAACTTGTAATTGTTCCAAAAAAAAGTTTAGTGCATTTACCTGACAGGCACTAACGAAATTTGTAAAATAAATTATCTTCCCTAGCCTTTGAAATTTGATTTGAATTCAGAGACTACTGAATCCCCCTTTCCTTGTTCGCTATCAATTACTTGTTCGGGGAAACTTCAATTGTAAGGTTCCAAACAATTCCAGTTTTGAAGTAGAAAAAGTCTTAAGGGTTATGTTTTGTTGGAATAAAATATTGCTCGTTCAACCATAAGAAATAAGGCAAAACTTAGTTTAACATTGACCCTCAATCGAGCATGACCAAAAGATTTGTGGGTATTTCTTAACCAAAGGCTCTGAATCCTAACAGTTATCTTCGTGAAAGGCATATTGGGTTTGAATCTAGATTAACCTTTCTCCTTTCAACAATATGTTTTATTATACAAGTAAAGTATCACTGTTAAAATGAAAAAATTTTACATTAATAATTTAAAAAATTTTAATTATTATTTATATTTAGTGTAATCCTCAATTGTTTATGTGGATATACCCAAATTTAAAGATGTATACATTTTAAAATCTTAGGTATAATGCACTTATCTCAAACTAAAATTGCAATTTCAAAAAAATAATAATAATACGAAGGAAAGAATCTTCATTTCCTTTTCTTCCCAATCCTTTGACGGATTATTGCGCACAGTTTTCACTTTGTTATTGGATTTCTTACTCTATCCCCATGGGATAATGATAAATTAATTTTACATTATTTAATAATTAATTTTTTATTTTTTAAATCATAATATTATTTATTAATTTATTTAATAATATAACTTATATCCATCATTATTTCAAATTTCGTA